TTGCCTGCCACGAAATCTGCGCATGGAGGTTCACAAAGTGCTGTGCCACAATGGAGGGACGATTCGAACATGACCCGAGCAAGAGCTCTTGCAACTAGAGCTAACTGGAGCTAGAGCTCTTGAAACTAGAGCTAACTGGATGATGAGTGGTGTTTGATGAGTGGTGTATGATGAGTGGTGTATGATGAGTGGTGTATGATGAGTGGTGTATGATGAGTGGTGTGTGATCAGTGGTGTATGATGAGTGGTGTATGATGAGTGGTCTATGATGAGTGGTGTATGGTCAGTGGTGTATGATGAGTGGTGTATGATGAGTGGTGTATGATGAGTGTTTTTTGATGAGTGGTGTATGATGAGTGGTGTATGATGAGTGGTGTTTGATGAGTGGTGTATGATGAGTGGTGTATTGATGGGTGGTGTATAATGAGTGATGTATTCATGAGTGGTGTATGATGAGTAGTGTATTGATGAGTGGTGTATGAACAGTTCTTGAATGTCCGTAACACGGAAGTTTCGTACACTAAACTTCCTTTGACTAGTACTAACAAGTGCCTTACTAGTAGTAACAAGGAAGCTAGTAGTAACAAAGAAGCTACTAGGAGCAAGTGCCTTACTAGTAGCAACAAGTGCCGTACTAATAGTAACAAGGAAGCTAGTAGTAACAATCAAGCTACTAGGAACAAGTGCCTTACTAGTAGTAACAAGTGCCTTACTAGTAGGAACAAGGAAGCTACTAGTAGCAAAGAAGCTACTAGGAACAAGTGCCTTACTAGTAGTAACAAGTGCCTTACTAGTAACAAGGAAGCTAGTAGTAACAAAGAAGCTACTAGGAACAAGTGCCTTACTAGTAGTAACAAGTGCCTTACTAGTAGTAACAAGGAAGCTAGTAGTAACAAAGAAGCTACTAGGAACAAGTGCCTTACTAGTAGTAACAAGTGCCTTACTAGTAGTAAGGCTAGTAACAAGGAAGCTAGTAGTAACAAAGAAGCTACTAGGAACAAGTGCCTTGTCTTGTCTTGTCTGTCCGCTTGAATCTCTCTGTGAGACTCGTGCCGGGGCCCCGCACCACAGTATTGCGACGCGCACACAAGAGATGTGTGGAAGCACAATCATTGCACAGAGTTTACTGCAAATGAAAGTCATGGCCATGGGCGAGAATGGAAAAATCAAATGAGAAATCAGCACGAACTCAACGCCTGCAACCCACTCGAAAGTGGGGATTGGCGGCAGGGGCGCTCGCTCGAGTTCCCTGTGTCCGCACTGCCTACTTTCCAACTTGACGAATCATTGGATTGGGTGGCGCAGCTCCTGTCTTTACTTCACCACCAGCCATAACTACAAGCTCACTCAGAACATCAGCAGCTTCATTCCACTCAGCTTGGCGCAAGAGCTGTGGCCGAATCTTTAGCAAGACTTTGTGGTCTCTGGTTTCCTTGGCTACTGCCAGCTGCACGGACTTTTCCATGTCAGACAAAGTGGAGAGTGACTGGTGGAAAGGCCCGAACTTGTCGAGTCGTTCCTTGAACTCACTGTCTTTCAGCAAGGTCTGCGCCACAGTGCCTGCCACTGTCCATCGCGGTGGTCCGCTGGTTGGCGTCTTGGACTTCCACGCCTGCATTGCTGTCAGCAATTCCTTGGCTAGCTGACTGTCTTTGCTGAGCAAAAAGGTGTGGCAGCTCCACACTTCTAACTCTCGGATGTCCCGGTCGTGCTGCTGAACAACTTTGACCAAGTTGCGCACTTGAGTGGTGAGGTGCTGAACTTGTTGTTCCAAATTCCCTTTGTGGCCAGTTGCTTCTGCTCGTTGGTCTGCCCGAGGACGCTTCTGCGCTGGTTGGTGGGAAGGACTGCTCTCGTTCACCTCGGCCATGAAAGCAAGCCCGGACATCAAGCTGTCGTGAACTGCTTGGCAGGTTGGCTTGCGGCACAGGATGGTGGTCTTGAGCCAAAACTGCTGAGCGAGCTTGCTCCAGGCCTCCAGCTATAGCGCCTGCACGGCCGTGGTTGTTCACAACACTTCCACAGGATTGTCGCTCAAGATGTCTGCGGCGCGCCGAGACTTCTGTGAACTGCCTTCTGCACTGCGGACAAACTGTATTTTTCAACGGATGTCTCACTTTGTGACCTTTCACAACATGCTGGAAAAAAGAGCGTCTGCTGTGCCATGGCCCTGCAGCACATTCGCCGCAGTAGACCCCAGCTAGCCACTCAGGTTCAGGGACATCTGTCAAACTTTGCGGGGATGTCCCGTCTTGCAGCACGCAAAAGTCAGCGGCCAAAGCAGAAGGGTCCCCAACAAGGGGGGAGGCAGGCAGACTGGAGTTGACTCCAAGCTCTCTTGCCGGGCGATGTTCGGCTGCTTCTGTTGGCTCCACTAGACAGCGAAGCTTGGCGATGGTCGCTCGAGGCGTTGCCAAAAAAGTGTGTTGCCACCCGGGCAAAAAACCAGACCATTCAGGTAGAAGAGCTCGTAAGTCTGCTGCCAAGATGTGCAAAAACGTAGGAGCAAATTCCGTCAGTTCGCCACTTGCATCTACAGGGGCTGCAGGCTGAAAGGTCAACTGCCCAAACAGAGTTGCCAGGTCAAGGCGCACCTCTCCAGCTTGCTCAGCTTGCAAGGCAGCGCGGAGCCATAGAAGCCGGCGGACGCGAAGTTCAGAAGCAATGTCAGCCAACAAAGACTGCTGCCGCAGCGCTGAAAGAGGTACTGAGCGAGGAGCATCGTCAGCGCCAACTGCACCAAAGCCTCTTCTGCCAAAGCACCGTCGTAGTAGCACTCCCCGGGCAGCTTCAAGTCTCTGGACGTCTGTGCTTGTTAAGCTTCGGACTTCGAGCGCTGAGAGCAGCGCTTCATTCACGACTGATCTGAACACCATTTTTTGTGGTTTTGTAAGATTTTGGAATTCTTGAAAAAAGGTGAAAACTTTGCAAAGCCAGTCCTAGCAGCTGCGATACGCTTGGACACCTCAGCCCGTAGAGAAAGGCTCGACTGCAGATGAGCTCCCAAGTACCTTCACCACATGCTTCAACGCAGGGCCGCTCCAATCGCCAGAAAAAACTCTTTTGGCTGCTGAGTACGATCCCTTGCCACGGACCGCTAGGAGACATTCACTTTTTGACTTAAGTTGAGTTTCAAACGGTGCGGTCGCAATGCCCTTTCCAACGCAGCAGTGTGTTCTACCGCACATTGCTCCACTTGCCCAGCCTGCTGCGCAGCTTCAACCCTTGCCAAATCGTCAGCGTAAGCGGCCACAGCGACATTGTGCACCGAACCATTGTAGCTAACTTGAGTAAAGCAATTCGGCACAGGCGCGCTAGCATGCCAGTCCTGCACAATGTTGTCATATGCTCGTCTGAACAGTCGTGGTCCTGTTCCACCTCCTTGCAAAACTCCAGCTCCCAAGTCAACTAGTAGTGATGTGTCACCAGCGATGGGCATGCGAATCTGCAGACGTTG